CCCACGAAATGAAATTAATTAACATTTCCTTTTTTCTTGGCTTAAGTACTTAAGGAAATGTTAAAAACCTTTCTAAAAAAAGGAAATGTTAATTAATTAATTAGAAAAATAGTTAGATACTAGATGTTAACCCGCGGTACACCGCGGGCATATATATTATTTGAAATTTTTTGTTGAATTATTAATTTCAATATTTTAGTTGACATATATGTATTTTTTATTAATTTAAATGTATATATTGATGTAGAAGTTGTATATATCTATAAATGGTAGAATTAGTGAATTTCAATATCATTTTAGTAAAAAAAGAGTTATAAACAATTTTAAATATATCACTCACTTGTACTCAATATATTTTCATATTAATAATTTTATAAAATTACACACATAATATATTATATTTGATTTCATTTGAATATATTGAGTTTTGGCCTAATAAAATTTATAGTATTTATGAATTTATATTTAGTGCAAAGGAAATATAAGTGTTAAATGGTGTATTGTTAGAAGATAAAGTGTTTTGTATTTATTTGATGACATTAGTACTAATTGGTAAGATTATAAGTTTAAATAATTCTAATTGGTAAGATTATAAGCTTAAGAGTAATGAAAAACGAATTGATTTGCTCATTAATTTTTGGATTGAATCTTACCACAAAAACAAAAAATATGATTGAAGAAAAATATCCAAAAGTGGAGCAGAGAAAAATAAAGCATAAAACCATCAACATAAGCATTAAGCAGGTCTTTTGATAAAGACTAATTTTGACTATTAGAATCTCTACGTCATTCAACCTCATTGATCAACAAAAAATCATCAGCAGAAGATTTGGCCTCCTCCTTGTCCAATTTAACTTTGAGATCCAACACAATCATCTCAAGGTTCTTGAAGCATTCCTCGAGTTGTTGGACCCGAGACATCAAGCATCGTCTGATTTCTTCCTCTCCAAGGACACCTCCTCAAGATTTGTCTTCAAACAATCCAGCTTGAAGTCCAATCTCATCAGCTCAATATTCTTAACACGTTCATCGAGTTGTAGGACATCAACATCTAATTTCTTCCTCTTTAAGGAAACCTCATCAAGCTTTAACTTCAACCATTTCAGCTTGAAGCCTTGTTCAATCACCTCGCCGTGAGCATTGCTTAGCTCAGTCTCTGAGTGATCATGTGAAGGCTTGTTACGTGTGCTCTGTGAATATCTTTCTCGCTGAAGTAACTTGCCAAGGAAAAATATGTTTAGGTTACTCAAGAAAGGAATCTGAATAAGCAACCACAAAAGGCACAAAACCAAAAGATCAGATCTTTCATCTGTTTCTTTTTTTTCAGAGAAAAATCTCTCAAAAAAAATGCATCAGTAGGATGTAACACACGCCAAAGAACAAAGCATCCATAAAGCAAATATACCTTCTTTGGTGGTAGATAAGCCTCAAGATAAATTCCATCAATTATTGGAACTTGGCTAAGCATTCATCAAACAGAATTTGGATGATCATAGTCAAGCTTGTTTGTTGATCTAGCAACAACAAAATATAGAGAAGGAATAAGTTCTGTTCACAAAGCGTTTAACATAAAAGAACCATTGTAAGAAGCAGAGTACACGAACCTTGGAGACTTGTAGATACCAGAACGGAATTCATCACGACCAAGAGCAACCTGCATCACTTTGTTCGAACCTAGGAAGAACCTAGATAAATAAGAACCGAATCATGTTTCTCTTCACACGGTACTTGTGGTATGTGTTACCAGCATTTAGCATCGGCTTCTCAGTTCTTCCACCACCTGCAACTTGACCAATCATGGCCATGCATCCACTTGGCACAATCTTTTTCGAACCCGATGGCAACTTCATCCTATCAAAAACATGTGTAAATTCATAACTGTGAGAACAATTCCCTCATCAAAAGAAAGAACAATAGATATTAATAGTTGTTCACTACAATCTAATCCAATCATACTTAATCAGAAAACTGAAACGTAAAGTATACTAAACACAAATCATCATCCAATTCAGCAAAGCTAGATATGAATTCAATGACCAGCGGGAAAATATTGAAACTTGTTGTTAAGAACTAAAGATTTGAACTAATCAAATCTAACGCAATCATTCAAATGGTCCATGAGATATACATATTAAATCAATTGAATATCACCAAGAAAAGTAAGTGTCGTTATTAGGATTATGAGCAATAACAATGGCTTTCTTCCCATAGTAAACAAAATGACCGGTGTACACACCTTCAGCAGCAAGGAAGAGCTTATGCTTCTTGAATCGGAAATGATGACGGAAAGCTACACGATACAACGGAGCACCACATCATGTGTCGTGAATGATCTCCGTCACAACACCTTTGAGATAACCATTTTTTTAATGATTTGGAAATGAGAATGACTTTGATATTTATAGCGTATAAGGATGCTAGGATTATTAGTTTTCAGAATTTTGAAAATCTTGGAAAAAAAGCATAAAATAAAAGATATTATGAACAATATATATTCGTATTTGGTATAAAATTGAATGATTGGCTATATTTGGATAAATACTGAATATTGTAGAGTTAGTTATAATTAGGATTAGATCTAAGTGAATATATTAAGAAGATTTTCGAGTAAATTAAGGAATATACGATGGAATATGCAATTAATAGAAGATTTTAGAGCCGGATTAATGTGGCATATTCTTTAAATATGGTACAAAGTATAATTGTAAATGGAAGAAGATGTAAGGAATATGTCATTTGTTAGATGGATTGTCGTAATTAGTTTCCATTTTTCCTTAAATTTGGGATTGTAGCAATTAGGTATCATAAGTAGAGAAGAAATAATTGTTGAGATTTTTGAAAAGATTGCGTCATATTTTAGGCAAATATATGAGGACCAAAATTCATTTCCATATCTTTACTTAAATAAAACAAATCTAAAAATTAATGTCATAATTTGCGATTTTAGGAAATAAGATTAAACCGAAATATTAGAGTAATTGTAGTCATAATTGGCGATTTTTTTTATTACAACATTCCTAAAATCTCTTATTCTAGATCCGAATAAGGTAAAACCGGATAGATAATGTTTGGTTAGTATCTTTTTAATATTTTCAAATCTTTAGAATTAAACTCATTGACATTATATTGTTGAATTTATTTTTTAAAAATGACGTAATATTAAATAAAAAAATAAATAACTAACTATTTTCATTTGATGGTGTAGACAAATTATTATTACTATTTATGTAATTTAATTACAAATAACAAATATTAATTTTTATAACAAAACAAATTATTTTCGTAATAACAATTTTTCCCCAAATCAATCTTTTACAAAATATTTATTTAATCACATATTCTTTCTATGTAGAAATAAATAGTTAAATAATTATGGTTAGAAGTAGTTAAGGTAAATAACAAATATGGTTAGTTTAGATATATTATATATATTTCTAATTTAGGTGTTAATTAAGAATTAATGTCGTTTTTATTACAAACATCCTTAAATTTCTTATTCTAGATCCGAATAGAGTTAAACCCGGGTAAAACCCGGATCCAAAAGACTTTTTGCAAAAATCCCCTGTAAAAATGTATATGTAGATTTGTGTTACAAAAAATTATAGTTCAAAATTGCTAATGGTGTTTTAATCCGAATTTTGTTTTGATTTGAGTTCAAATTTTTTGTTTTATATATAGTTTTTGGATTATAATAGTATTCAAATTAAAACATCACATTAATTTGGGGAGACTCACAAAAATGCCACTTTTTCAATACTCTTTTCAAAAATGCCTCCTTTGGCTGTCCATTTTTAAAAATACCATTTTTTATGTACAAAAAAACTAAATTACCCTTTTTTTAATAAAAAATATCACAAATATATAAGAAAAACATGAGAATGTGCACACATCAAAATTACAAATTTGATTTTGTAAAAACTTGTAAAACCTTTAAAATACCTTGTAAAATTTTCCCGCCAAAAATTTTTTTTGCGGGAAAAGTGATTCCGCAATTTTTTTGGCGGAAAAAATTTACAAGGTATTTTAAAGGTTTTTTACAGGGTATTTATAAGGTTTTACAATGTATTTTAAAATGTTTTACAACGTATTTATAAAGTATTTATAAGATATTATAAGATTTTACAACGTATTTATAAAGTATTTATAAGATATTATAAGATTTTACAAGCTATTTTATAAGGTTTTACAAGTTATAAGGTTTTACAAGTTTTTTATAAGGTTTTACAAGTTATAAATACCTTATAAAACCTTATAAGTACCTTGTAAAACCTTACAAAACACTTGTAAATACTCTGTAAAAACCTTTAAAACCTTATAAGTACCTTGTAAATTTTTCCCGCCAAAAAAATTTCGCCAAAAAAATTGCGGAATCACTTTTCCTACAAAAAAATTTTTTGGCGGGAAAAATTTTTACGGAAAAATTTTACAAGGTATTTTAAAGGTTTTTACAAGTGTTTTGGCGGGAAAATTGCGGGATCACTTTTCCCGCCAAAAAATATTTTGTATTTTGTTTCAAATAAGGGTAAAATAGTCATTAAAAATTAAAAGAGGGCAAACTTAAAAATGGATTCTCAAAGGGGGCATTTTTGAAAAGAGGTATTGAAAAAGGGGCTTTTTAACAATTTCTCTTAATTTGGACCATTTGGTATGGTTTTGGTTTCGATTCATATTCCAAATCCATCTTTAATTGTTAGATAAATTTTAAGTTCAAAATTGGATTCAATGTTTCGTATATAGAAATTACGAACCCAATTAATAATCCAAGGATTCTTCTATCTGTTGTTTCGGACCAGATATTACACCACTAAAGGCATTTACGTGGAAGATAAAGTGCCCTCCGAAATTGCGGTATTTTATGTGGCAGGCTTTAAATGGATGTGTTTCGGTTACATCAAATCTCCGAAAACGTGGGGTTAATTGCGATGCAGGTTGTGACAGATGTGGGGATACCGAAGAGACAATTAACCATGTCCTTTTTGAATGTCCGCCTGCACGCCAAACATGGGCTTTATCACAGATTCCAACGGCCCCCACAATTTTTCCCTCAGATTCACTATATGCAAATATGGATTATTTATTTTAGCGAATATCAACGGATGTTTATAAAGCTACGTTTCCATGGATAATTTGGTATTTATGGAAAGCAAGAAATGATAAAATTTATAATAATGTGGATCAAAGTCCACAAGAGATTTTGCGGTTAGCAGAGAATGAGGAGCAAGCTTGGCAATTAGCTCAGGTGGAAATACCGGATGACGTTGTAGACTCGGCAGTGGGGAATACACACTCACATTCCATGATTGACGAGCAAAGGCAGGCTGGCAATGGGTTTCAGTGTTATGTAGATGGGTCTTGGAAGGAGAGTGATCGATTCTCCGGATTAGGTTGTTTTTGTTCTAACCCGAATGATGGAACGCAAGACATGGGAGCTGCTAATCTTCGAAGAAGCTTAACCTCATTTCACACAGAGGTCGAATCATTAATTTGGGCGATGAGATGTATGATCGGCCAAGACAAGAGAGAAGTAGCTTTCTTTACAGACTGCTCAAACTTGGTGAAGATGGTGTCTTCCCTGCAAGAGTGGCCAGCGTTCGCAACATACTTAGAGGCGATTCAGAACGACAAGGAAGAGTTCGACGTATTCTCATTATCTTTAGTTTCTCGAAATGCGAATGTGAAAGCGGATAAACTGGCACGTAATGTTCGTACCCAGCCGCAACTTATTACCTATGTAAACAATTTACCACGACATTTGCTCATTTGAGCCAATTTAATATAGCTGTTGACAAAAAAAAAAGAACCCATTTAACCTAATCTTTCTTTTCTTTTTTCTTGGCAATATCCTCTAGGAAAACTACATGTAGTCTCGTTGCCTAGGAAGAAAACGGCAAATAAGAAACTTCTTCATCGCCTGCAGTCACTGCAAGGCTGCAACTGAGTTACCGACGTAAGAGACTGACACGTGTCCGTAAGGTTTCGTTCTCGTGACTTCGTCTTTGTCCTCTTGCTTTCCCGCTCTGCCCTGATAAGGAGATATTGTTCACAAAGGCCTCTCTCATATTAACCGTTTCTTTCTTCCATACTCGTTAATGGCGGAATCGTTCGATTTTGATCACAACAAACACTAAATTCGCATGACGTTCCTTCGCAATTGGGTTCAACGGAGACTTCGTACTCTATTACTCCCTTTTTCTCGCGATGAACCTGATCTTCAAGTCGAATTAGGGTTTACTGATACTCTCATCACTTTAAGGAATTTCCGATTCGATGTTTCTCAGCTTAATCAGCTTCTCGATGGATCGAATTTTCAATTCGAGAAATTTACTATCGACCACTTGGTTGTTCGCTTGTCCGTTTGGTCAGCTCCGGCAATTAAAATCGAGATTCGCGGGGTCAATGTCAAATTGTCAGCCAGGTAACTTAATCCCATCGCTCAATTGTTGTTTTGTGAAGTCCATTGTTCGTTAGGGTTTATCAGATTCTGCGTATTTTTTTTCTCTAGAGGGACTGAGGAAGGAAGCTCGAGAAGAAAGCGAGCATCAAGTGACAGAGTTGCAAATGAGATAAAGAAAGTTCTATCGTCTATTGATCCCGAGGTACTTTATCTTCATTAACTCTGGGATTGATTTGTTTGTTGATTGGAATTGTAACTGTGTTTTGTTGTATTGGAAATTGCAGGGATGTGTCTTACATGATATTTTGGAAAAGATGCTAGGTCGTAGCACTTCCCAGATAAGTAAGCTCAAGACTTCCTTCTCGAATCTTATTCTCAGGCATTTCCGTATTCGGATACATGGCATTAATGTTCAAGTTTGTTTACCGGGTTCAAGTAACTTGAGTTGTGTTATGGAAATCAATGAGCTGAGGAGTGATTCTGAGAATTTTGGAAATCTTGGTTTAGTTAGGAGTTCGGCTGCTGCAGTTTTATTCCCTTTGAGACGTAGTTCCTTAACGCTGAGTTGCTTCGGTTTTAACATTGGATATAAGAGGGATAATGAAATAGCTGACCTTTGTGGATTTGACAGCCTAGTCATGTTGATTACGCTGCATAATCTTCAACTTGTTGATCTGATCGTCCGCATTCCAGAGTTAAACTTCTCGTTTAGACCCACTGATCTTCCGGTTTTAATGGGATTGGCGAATTTATCATCCAAAGATAGCAATTATGTCAGAAATGGACGTTATCTTTGGAAAGTTGCTGCTCGCAGAACTGGCTTGATGATTTCACCTCACACTGTTTCATTCCAGAATTTAGTTAGTGCTGTTATCCTCTGGCTGCGATATGTGAATGCGTACGAGTATTTATTATCTTTAGCTGGGTACTCCAGGAGCATGCCAGAGAAATCATTACTTTGGAAATTTTCAGAAAACAAAAGGCATTTTGGAACTGCAAGACGTAAATGGGAGATGATATGTAATATTGAGAAAGAGCTCCCTGCCGAAGCTATTGCACGGGCGCGGAGAGTAGCCAGATACAGAACTTGTCTGCAATCTCAGAATTCTGATGAAAGTTATGACGAATCCTTTGTTTACGGCCACTTCAATTGT